TTTGTTGTTCCCAAACGTCATTTTATCAAAATTAATTACAAACTTCCTCGGTAGTCCAATCCTAATATGCATTCGTCTTCAATGTCAGCCAAGTATACTTTGTGTCTGTTCTTTATGCCCATGAGCTCAACAGTTACCCATACTGGTCCCCACAACCTTGCAGAATGTCCTGTCACACCACAAAGCTTCTGTATGACTTCTGGTACTCTTTCGTGATCTAACACCTTGATGCTCACATGGGTTTGCTGAGATGAAGAATCTATGACAAAGTTGCACCTTTGGCCATCCAGCTTTCCTGTCACATAGCTGACTTATTGGTAGTATTGTTCTTACACTGGCTCCTCATATGTCCTTGCTCTTCACAGTTCCAACAACCTTTCTGGATAGCAGCCTTTCCTGCCGTGTCATCTCCCCTGTGTTGAAGTTTCCAGCATTGAGCTTTCTTGTGTCCAGGTTTATTACAGTGCCAGCAAAGTCCCTCAAACCTCTCTGAAAGCTGACCTTTTCTGGCCTTGAATCCTGATGACTGTACCAACCTTGATACCTTTGTGCTGCACTTAATGTAGGATTCGAATTCAAGAGCTCTGGCCATTGCATCTTGTATAGTAGAGGGGTGTGCTTGCTTCACTTGTATCTTCAGTTGTGGACTGTCCAAGGCGTCTATAAACTGATCCCTCAGAAACAGCTTGAGGACATTGGGTGGTGCAGTTGGGTAGGCGTTGTGTGTCATACTTTCCAAATCCCTTTAGCACGGACTCTCGTTCCAAACCTAGCCCTGTAGACTTTAGACTGATTTTGAGTTCCATATCTGATTTCCAGAGCAGCTACCAGTGCTCTATATTTGTGCCTGTCATCTGCTGACAACTGTCCAAGTATTTCAGTGGTTGTCCTTTCAAGTTCGTTGCCAGGTATACTGCTTTGTGCTCCTCTGTCCATACACTTATTTCTGCCAGTAGCTCAAATTGTGCTCTATAAGCTTCCCATGGTGCCTTTCCATTGAATTTCTGTGGCTTCCTTCATACTAAATCACCCCTATTGCTGACACTCATGTCTGGAATGTGACTTCTGGCAGGACTGAAGACGTCTGCATTAGGGTTTAGCTGCAGGGTCTGGAAGGGGCTTCCTGTTGTCTGGGGCTGATTAGGTCCATGGTTAATATATGCTCCCTGTGTAAGAGACAGTAAATCGTCCTTTGATGTATTTAATTCACTTTGAAATTTACTAATCTTTTCCATTTGCGTATGCTGGCTTTCTCTCAACTGTTGGATACTTTCTTCTTGTTTATTTTCTTTCTCCTCCAACCACTGCTGGTGTTTTTCTTTTTGTTTCTTTTGCTGTTCTTGTAATGCTGCCATCAAATCTGCTAAGTCGTAGTTTGATTTGCCACTTCTGGTTTCCATCTTTCTTTTTTTTCTTTTCCATCCCACTCCCTGACACCAATTTTTTGGGTATCTGCTTGTTTCTTTTCTTGTTTAAAACTAGTTTATTCCTTTTCTATACAAAGTTTAGTAATACACAGAATTTCCATAGTCATTTTAAACTTAGCAACCTTTACAACACATGCTGTAAATCACAGCGATTCACACACTTTACTTACGGTGCCTATTGTTGGCTTGACTCAATTATCTATCGTTTCAATCTATCTATCTATCTCGCTGGCTTTTTTTGCTAGGCTTATATACTAAAAAAGAAGGCGTCTAGCAAACACTCGGACATTCGCGGGGTTTCCCGATAATTCTAGAAATTCCAGCGCGCATGCTCCCAGCCTCACGCGACTTCCGCTGTCGTAACATTATACTAAAACTTTCATGCATATGCCTACTATTATATATATATATATATATATCCTTATTACTTTTTTGATACATTTTAATCTTCTACGTTAGTGACATTCCTTTTTTAAAACTCATTACTTAGTTTTTCACCACCTAACATATTGTTACGTCTCTGTATGTTTGCTTGCTAATTCTTACAAGATACAAGTCCTTTCTTTATAAAACCTATTTATTCTTCCTCAATACAGCTTTGTAATGTACTTAATTTTCACAGTTACACACACTATAGTTCACAACAATTCACTCACTTTCTATCGCGCTTAGGCTTAATCGTCCGTCCCCGCAAACTATAGTTCTGATCTCTGTGTCTGCTATCCTCAGTTCCCGCCGACCGTAACCGCTCTCTTTCTTTCTCTCTGCCTGCTTCGTCTCCGCTACGTCTCTGTCTCCACTATTGCTTCGACTCCGTCTCGTCTCTGTCTCCACTACTGCTTCGACTCCCTCTGTCTCTCTCACTGTCTAGCGCACTTATATAGGATAATACTGCCTGTTCTAGAAACTTCTAAGATTCTCAACACGTGCTACCAGCGTCAATTGACGCAACGCTGTCGCAACACACTAGCGAATCTTCTAGAATATTCGTCACGTGACCCCGCTGTCGTAACACACTAGCGAATCTTCTAGAATACTCGTCACGTGACCCCCACTGTCGTAACAATATTTTGAAATTAACAAAACTACCTACCCGAGGAATATTAATGATTAAATGTTTATATTATACGTATACTCATAACTCCGTTAAGCCTTCTCACTAAAGGATTGCTATTGCGCGATGATAACCAAAAGGCTGGGAGTTCACTTTCATCTCAATTCTTGATTTTGTAATTATGAACTTCAATTCAAAATAACTTCTAAGTTGTGCCCTGACACTAATCTTTATTGCACTATGCTGATATTAACATTAGGCCTAATGAAAGCATTTTATAACACTTAAACTAGCATAGGAAAACAATGCTAAACTTGCGTATAATAATGACAAACAGGATTCAAGGTATTAGTTTTGTGCCTTGTCATTCTCCTGTGAATAGTAAAGATATAGAGAAACTGCAAGAATTTATTGACAATAGTACAAGACTACTAGTTTTGACAGGAGCTGGGATTTCAACAGAAAGTGGAATACCAGATTACAGTTCAAAAGGTGTAGGACTGTATGCAAGAAGTTCAGTTCGACCTGTTCATTTTAAAGATTTTATGTGCAAAGAAACAGTAAGGAAAAGGTACTGGGCTAGAAATTATATTGGCTGGCCACGTTTTTCGTCACTTAAACCTAATATTAATCACATATGCTTATCAAATTGGGAAAAACATGGAAAATTATTTTCCCTTGTTACCCAAAATGTGGATCGTCTGCATCACAAAAGTGGAACAGAAAATGTAATTGAACTCCATGGGACTACATACAGAGTAAAGTGCATGAACTGTGGATACAAGATCTCCAGATTCTTATTTCAGCAAATCCTCAAATATCTTAATCCTGATTTACAGCTGGAAGCAGTTGAAGTCCACCCTGATGATGATGAATTAGATAGTGGACTACTACAAGATTTTCAAGTTGCAGATTGTGAAAGATGTGGAGGGATTTTAAAGCCAGATGTTGTATTCTTTGGTGACACTGTACCAAAAGAAAGAGTTGAAGAGGTATATCAAAAAGTGACCAATTCTGATGCTGTGTTGGCAATTGGTTCCTCTTTAAAGGTGAATAAGGTCATTTTTTTGCAACCTATCATCAATTAAAATTAACACCTAAAATCCTATTTTACAAGTATTTTGCCATGCTGTCAGTTTTCTGCCTTTTTAATAACAAAGTCATTAATAACATGGCTGATTCCCTTAACTATTAGCTTTTTGTTTGTTTTGGTAATAAGTATGGCTTATTTGTTTGTGTACTTTGTGGTTACATTTTCTTTTGCACAGAAACCAAATTTCTGTTTTTTGAAGTAATGACTTTGGCTCTTTAACCTCAAAATCAATAGGGAAGTTTGATTAAAGTCTGTTGTTTAAACTATTATTCCGTGAAAATTAGTTGTCTTCAGATGGATGTATACCATCATCAGTATAACCCCAGAACCTTTTTTTGGTCTTGTTTATGTATTCTTTACACATGTTATTATTGCCATGGTAATATCTTCTTTTAAAATGAAATGGTTTATGCAAATAGTTTTCAGATCATTTTATTTCAGTGGAATTAACAGTACAATGAAAAAAGCATGAACTTTTGTAAAGACTGTATCTAGACACTGTACATTTAAGAATACAGTTGTTTAAAGAATAACTTAATTATATGGTAAATGTTTGAAAATAATTTTTAACATTTAAAAATGATAATTACAATTACTACTGGTAAAACTATGGTGATAGGATATCAACCATTGCTTGACTGTATGTTAATCTTGGCCTGATTATAAATTTTTTTTGTTATATGGTACTGATCTTGTACTGTCTTCAGGAAAATCCTGAGGACTTGTTTTTTTAAGATGGTAGTGGCTGGGAGTTGATCCTATGTCTTGATAGAGGGGTGTTTCTCCCATTAGTACTTGCATCAACTATCTGAATGCTTTCAACTGGGGTATCCAAGTTTTGCTATATTGGGTTAATTATTATTAACTTCCAGTCAAAACAAATTATGTACTTACGGGTGAAACTAAACTAACTGAGGATGCTATCAGTTAGGTGGATGTAGAAGACTTTACAAAGACTCAGTGGCAAACAAAAACTATTTACAAAATCCTAAAAAGTTAAAATTAAAAAGCATAAAAGACAGTAATACAAAATAGCCAATCATGCAAAGAATCATTTTATGATAAAATAGTTTAATAAGAAAAAAAAAGAATATGAATCAAATATGAGAAAGGTGATAGCCGCCTTCTACATCCACCTTTCTGTCAATACACTTAGTATAAAAGTTAAAAAAAAAACCTAGAATACCCCTCTTGAAAGCATTCAAATCATAATGGGAGATATCCCAAACATAGGGATAGGACACGAGCATTTCAATCAAAAATACCCAGTATTATACTCCAGCCACCACAAATGCAGTCCTTCTCAGGACTTCACTGAAGATGACAGTAGATTAGAAGCTAAAATATTAGCAACTTCTTAATTCAGAGTTACACTTGAAGGACTAATCTACAAAAGCAACTCATAATAGTCCTTCAAGACTTTCTTCTCAAGTGTCACTCTGAACTAGGCTGTTTATGCCCATTTCAACTTTACTTGTTCATCATGAAGACTGCCTAAATAATCTACAACATTAAACAGTAATTAGTATAAAAATAATAACTGATTAAAATTATGAATTGGCTTTAACATTTTATTACAACTGTTATATTTGTTATTCAGATTTTCATAATATAGGTGTATTTATAAAGATTTAAATTATATATATATGTCCCAAAACTTTTATGTAAAACAAAGACTAATATGTTGTATATTTATTACTAGTTCTTAAAAAAAATTGGCTAATTATTTAACTTCTATTTTATAATTATACATATTTATTTTACTATTTTTTGGTTTCTTGACAGACCATGATTATGAAAATTATGTTTATTAAATTTCAGGTTATTTCAGGTTATCGATTTGTCCTAGCAGCTGTAGAACAGAATAAGCCTGTGGCAGTCCTGAACATTGGTCCAACCAGAGCAGATCACATCTGCAATCTTAAGATTTGTGCTAAATGCAGTGATATTTTACCAAGAATTTTTTTAAACAATGGCTAAAAAAAATAAAGTACTGTAATGAAAGTGATTTATCTGTTAATCTGAAGTAGTATATGGTTTAATATTCATTGTTGTATATTTATACACGTAGATGAATGCATTAATATCACTCAAGATATTTATGAGCTATTGTACTGTGGGTTTTATTTTTTGTTTGTGTGTGTGTATATAAAACTAGCAGAGAAATGTTTAATAGAAACACACATACAGTAGTGGCAGCTGTATTAAATACGTATATAATCTTATAGTAAATTAATTATGATCATGCATTCCAGATACGATATTAGTTATTATATGTACAGTTGAATTAACCCATTGACTATGCTCTCAAAACAAGCCACTCCTTAACCAACCAACATTAAGCAATGCAGTTTACGATAACAACACAAAGTAGCAGCAAAGAAAAGCATAAATCTGTGAGAAATCCAGGGACTTTGCAACCTTGGATTAAAGTAACTTAGGTAATAAATTACTTCATTTGTACATTTTAGTTTTACATAGTTCATTCTCATCTTATATGTGAAAAGACAAGTTTCAGTTGGAAGCATTATTACAATATACATCTACAATTCAAGACTTAATAAATGATTGATAAGTAAGGCAAAATTGATTGCTTTAAATGAAAAAGAACAAAACAATATGAGCAAATTTTATAATACATTAATGTATGTGTTCTGCCATATTGTAAAGGTAAAAAAAAAGAATGTGAAGGCTGTAAAAAAAAAAGTGGAATAATATATAGTAAAAACCTTTTATTAGGTGATATTGTAAGCAAATATTCTGTGTAATGCCTTGATTAACTTCTTAAATCTGAGCAGACGCTTATAGCATTTAGCCCAAAATCCTGATTTACCTATCGTACAGTGATAGCATCTGATAACACTTATTTCTCTTTGGCTGAAAACTCATCCAAAACATGTTATTATCTACAAAATTAAGAAAACTGAAATTGTATAAAGTACGGTGATAATTAGTAGGAAATCATGAAAATAATTATGGAAGAATGTGCAAAAAATTACTGGTTTAAAGAGTTAATTAAGCCTGTTGGTAGGACAGGTGACCACTTGAGCTGTTTAGGGTAATATATTTCACAGGGAAAGTATGAGGCTTCAACAATGCTGCTACATAGAATACAATAATGCTATCAGAAAAGCAGCTACCTGCAATTATTTATTTTTAAATAATAAATTTCATTACTTAAATAATTTAAAAATAAGTACATCTATTAATCTACTATTATATATACTTATATATAATAGTATTTATGAATATTCATAAAAGATATTTAAAACAAATTATTTTGTGTGACAGCATGTAGAGTAAGTTGACAAAAATCTTAGATTATAGAGAATCTGACAAAGTAACCATATGAGGAAATGTGGAAATTGAAAAAAAAAATTATTTAAACTAATGCACAAATTGAATATATTAAAAAAAAGAGGAGGGGGATGACATGTAAAATAAACTAAGGAATATGTTTGTAAGAAACTGACACGTTCATTCATACCATTAAGATTTTAAGAGCCCAATTTAAAAATAATCTCTCTCAAATTGTTTTCCTCTTAGTGTTCTTGGGCAAATGTCTCACACAATTAAAAGTTTTCTTTGCTTTTTTTAAAGTGGCAAGCTACAGGTTTGTTATGATCTACAATTTAATTCTTCATTATCTGTTCATGTGTAAGCTCAGCAACCATTTGAAAAGGTTCCCCAACATAAAAATGGCTTAAAAAAATCACACAAATTATACACTGTGCAAAGTAACTTGAAAAGCAGATCCCATGTGTTTTGATGAAGTATTATAATTCATGCAAGGGCAAGTATTATATCTGGGGGTGGTGTGGCCTAGTGGTTAGTGTGTTTGATTTATAATTAAAAGGTTACAGGTTTGAAGCTTGCTTGTGCCTAGTCATTATGCCCTTGAGCAAGACACTTTACCACAAATGTGCTTCATTTTTCCAAGCTGTACTATGGGTCCTAATAAAACTGGTAGTTAATCTTTGATGATCTAGCATACCATTCAGAGAAAATGTGTCATCATTGTCCTTTGTTTGTGTCACTGGAAATGGGAGTTAAGCACTGGCCCTATTGTTCATTTTGAGCATGGAATGAATTTATGTGATTACTCTGTGATGGATTAGTATCCTGTCCAGGGGGAATGTACGGGGCTGAAATTCCTAGGTAAGCAACTTACGCACTGCCAAGGGGTCCCCAAATGGCCAGAAGTAATATACAAGTAATTCATGTAAATTAATACATAACAAAGAAATCAAACTTCTTCTAGGATGTAACTGCATATTTTGTTCAAATATCACAAATGGCTTCAGTAATCAAGACACATGGTATTGTGTTGTGTGGCCAAAAGAATATACAGGATACACTGTGCGTTATTAACAGAAGTGATAGTTTAGCAATTTTCCACTTTCTGTACTCCAAACTACCACACATTTTTAGTGGATGTGCTCTACTGGACCCTTACATCACATAACAAATTTCAAAGCAATCTATTAAGAAATACATGAGATATAAAATCTCCAATGTTGATTGAATTTCTTTATTATTTTTTCTTTTTTACTGAAAGTACAAGAACTTTATTTGACATAAAAACATACTTAACTTTCGTAGATTGTTTTCAAATTTGGTATACTGATAGATTTTTACAACCTACAATGAGGTATCAGATTTGCTCTAAATATCAGTTAGTTGGATGTAGAAGGCTTCACAAGTGGCAAACAAACCACTATTTACAAATCCTTTGTGAATGTGGACTCCAGTATATTGGGAAATAAAAAGATCACAAAAGTTAAAATTAAAGAGCATAAAAGACAGTGATACTTAACTTTTGTGGATCTGTTTCAAATTTGGTACACTGATAGATCTTTACAACCTAGAATTAGGTGTCAGATTTGGTCTACATATGAGCCACACGTGCAAAGTTATTCAACAAAAATTGCTCAATTTTGCCCAAACTTTTTTGCACACTTATGCAAAAAGTCACATGAGCTATCAGTCTGAAATTTTTACTACAACTTTATTTATGAATAAAGGTAGACCATTTCTAGTTTTTGGTCATTTGAATATGGCTGATTTAGAGCATCCAAACTATAAAGTAAAAGCACATGCAGATAAATAAATACTGGTTAGACCAAGCAAACTAGATTAGCAATTTCTAACTCAAGTTTTCAAAAAAATCATACAGGAGGAGGGTTATTAATTATTCATTGCCAACTTCTAAGCACGAGTCTGCTAAATTTTATGAAATTCTCCTAATTAAAAAGCATTTAGCATCATGTGATATTAGCTTAAGCAATTAGCATAAATAACGATGTTTAACACGATTGTACTGAGTGCATGCAGGTGATGACAAGAAACTGTTAATCTAGTTTCCATGGCATTACTATAAAGGAAGTTATTAACAGTGTTTTAGAGAATGAAAACTTCCATCATATATTTTAAGGAATCTAGTTGGTTCTGTAAAGTATAAGTCTGTTCTGAATAATAGGGTTGCGATACTAAAGCTAATTTTAGTTACTATCGAGTGTCACTTTCTTACTTGCTGTGATTTGTTGGTGTGTTTTGCCAAAAAGTCATGATATCAAATCAAAAACACCTTATGTAAGAAAAAAAGTGTGGCCAAAAACGTATTGAGCGTGCAACATAAAAGGAATAAAATCAAAATTGGCAGTCAAACTGGTAGCTACATTTTTTTGTTCTATCCACTATCATGCCCAAGTTGAACAAAAATGTGGCCTGGCTAACTAATGAAGGAATATTTGCTGTAAAATTACTTATGTATATATATATATATATATATGTGTGTATGTGTGTGTAGCTAACAGTTTGGCCACCAACTTTGATTTCATTGCTATAAGTCACACCTAAGGTGTTTTTGATTAGATAAAGTAAATCTAGCATAACAGAATAAATTTTTTCTATTTCTTTTGGAGTGAGGGGAGAATGCTCCACTGCTGAGTGTCTCCTAAATCTGCTTTTCTCTATATACCATTTTAAGCCCTGGAAATGTGCAACCATACTAATTTACTTCTGCCATTGGTTTGTTTGTAGTTAAGCACAAAGGGCTATTTGTGCTCTGCCCACCACGAGTATCGAAACCCTGTGTGATTTTCCTATTGGAAACCGTAATTAAGCACTATGCCTTTCAAATACAGAGAGGTAAAGGTAATGTTAATAGTAATTAATTTAAAAATAAATATAAGTAGCTGTTTTCCTTCTAGCATTTTTTGTATTCCACATAGTTTAAAGTAACCTTCAACATAATTTCAAATCAATATCCCAGTTTTTAAATATTGAAATACATGTTTTTATGAACTAATGGAACACACCTATACCTTAAGTATTTGGTATGCCATATTAATTCGCATTATGTGGCTGTGGATTTGATTGTCTGTGAACTCCTAGTTTTGGAGTCAGCAGAAAAACATTTGGCAGGCAGACTTGGGATGCCTTATCTATATGATGCATTCCCCTCACAAAGGGAGGATAAAAGATGTCCGGAAAGTTATCAGAAATAATGGGGTCTAGGAGTGTGTTTTCAGGGCATCAGATTTTGCATTCCTAGCCCACCTTGGGATCCCATGTTTGAAACTGTGTTCATACCCTCTCTCACAAGCAAGTGTGACCAAATGTGGCACAGATGCTCAAGTATCATGGACAGATGTCTTAACAGTTTGTTTTTAGGTACAGATCCCCCACCAGGGAATAATTGAGGAGCTTGACAGGTTCACTGTGAATAATGAGAGGGGCTTTTGAACTCCACAGGACCATGGATTTTATGATAGTTAATATTTAAGTGACTTATTTACATTAATTACCTATTGTTAGTCTTCTGTGGCACTAAGGCTGATGTAAATTACAAATCTTAATGACCAACCCTAAACTCACAAGGGTGGTAAAAATTTAACAAATTAGCATTCTATCATTTTCAGGTTCTGTTAACTAAGTAGGTAACAGAAATAACCCCTGAATCTTTCTGTTACTAGTAGTACTGTTCTTCTTTTCCAAAGAATTTGGAAAGAACCCAATGTATGTATTATTAACTCAAGCAATATTATCATTTTTAGTTTTAAACTCCAAACATTTTATTTATAATGAGTCATTAACAACACCTAAATGTTTTAATTCTTCAGTTATATCTGTAATCTTTAAACACATATAGTTGCCTTTCAATTCTTTATTATGTATTCCAGTGTTAATGACTTTAAACTTTTCTGTATTTCATTTCTTAAATCACTCTTATCCCAAAATTATGATTTAAGCCTTTTCCCTGAATGTAATATCTGAACTACTACTTTAGTATCATCAGTAAATTCAAATATCCTATGAACTACATATATATCAGTGTTGTAGAAATTCATAATAAAAGTTTCAAGAAAAAACTTTGAAAAATTGAGATAAAAAAAGTAACACAATTCATAGCCATAAGTGGTTAGGGTGCTTGACTCACAATCTGAGGGCATCCCTGTCACACCAAACATGCTTGTACTTTCAGCCATGGGTACATTATAATGTGGTGGTCAATCCCACTATTCATTGGTAAAAGACTAGCCTAAGAGTTGGCAGTGGGTG